AGGGACAACCCGTGTGTCTCAAGCAACAAGGCTTATTAACACACGCCCATCCCATACATTATGTCTGTCTGTCTTTATGACTGTCTGTTTGGTTCAGACTCCTTGACTCCTTCTCTCCTTTTTAGGCGAACACACAAAAGTGGCTAAGCCAAATATTATATAGTACTGATTGATGCTCTTGATCTTTACTTTCACGCTGACAAGTCCCAAAACCATATTTTTGATTTCAAAAATCTCTTGTTTTTCCCTAAGTTTAACACGTTGACGACAGTGCCGCGCAATGGTGCGCGGCAGGCAGTCTGTCCCTGTGGACGACGCCGCGCAATGGTGCGCGGCGGCCTTAAATTCAATACTATCTGTCCAATTCTCTCAGTTTTTGTTCATATAACCAACATAGCTCAGATGTACTTCATGTATTAGCCCCGCCCCTTTTGGCAAACTCCGCCCACTTTTATGACTCTCACAAGGATCCTTTTTGTCCACAAAAAGCATGTATGAGGCTGTAGATGAACGCAAAGACTTCAAGCAACTTCTAGCCAGACCCCGCCCACCGTCAGGCAAGCTCCGCCCCCTGAGTGGAAAGCTCCGCCCACTTCTCAAAAGTGGCGGAAATCGCATAAATTCTTGAAATTTTGGCAATTTCCGACATTTTTGGTCGAGTGGGCGGAGCTTGCCAGAGGGGGCGGGGCTTGCACATTTTGTACTTCGTGCATGGATGCATGCATACATAAATGGGCCACGCGTAGGGATGCATGGAAACGTCTCGTCCACAGGGACAGACCGCGAAAAAATGGCTCGTCGTCAACGTGTTAACTCTTTTTACGCGGTTTTTTCGTGCATTCTATAAATCTTGATTCTATCCATAACTAAGACAACGACCCAGCGCTTACCCTTTCAATTATGGCGGAAACGACTTTTTTCCAAATTAGGTAATTATGGCTCAGAATGATGAGCGAAGTAGTTTAGACACGTCCCAAAGAACAGGAACAACAATGCGGGAGGGGGGGGGGTAAAAATTCAAAGGAATTAAAGGCTATCTTGGCTTTGACGTGTAATTCTACTTAGTGAAAAAAACAGCGTTTTCAGAGCTAATCCTTTTTTTGATTATCTTCTCTTGATAATCGTTACTTCTGAAAGTTGTTTTTGGAAAACGCACAGAGAAAATTGGCTTTTCCTCGTTTTCCACCGCTTTGTAGATTACTTTGTCCTGGAAAATCTGTAATTCAAAATGCCGCCAAATGAAAGAATTTAAACTTATTGCAGCGTTTTGATCCGCTTTTCTCACTGTTTTCATATTTTTTCTTCTCTGCTCTATATGAACGGCCTTCACTTGTTATGAGGGGTAGATAATCAAATAACCTTCAGTTTGAGGCCTTGTCTCTAAACTATCGAAATTAACAAGATATGACTATGGCGTTTAACGGGCATGTACAAGATGCGCCGGTCGCTTATCGGGTCCAGTATCGGTTTACCGAGCAGCTCGCGGCAGGATGATTGGTGGTCGGGCAAGAATTCGCGAACTTCCCAATGCAATTATCTGAGTCCCCCCTCCCCCAAAATTTGACTGACCTTTAGTTAACTAAAAAGCGCGAGTCCGCCTGGTCCGGACGATGTTTAAAGAGGAGTTATGTGGAAAAGGGGGAGGGGTGATTCTTATTAAGTAGAAGTGGTTGGTCCGCGGGTATGCCAGCTATTTTGTTACACTGCAGCCCGCCATGGAACGCTGAATAAAGTTATTTTCTCTTTGCAGCAATCCATTACGCAGACTAGACCAATTATTACAGCACCTATGTACAATGCGCCTAATGGGGCCAGCGCCGCGTAGTGCAATCACACATCTACGCGCAAGCGCTAAAGTACGCGCAGCATGCAGGGCTATGCTGCGCACAACATGGCAGGCCTCGTTTCTATCACTGTATCTCGTCATTTTCCATTTTTGTAGCAGCGTGTTATTTTTTCTGCACCTATGCTCATATACTTGCCTTCATACCGGATAGGATTTTTTTCGGAGCAAAGGAAGGAGGTCAAATTTTTGAGCGTTTCCTTATGAGATCTTTCATCTCATCCAGACCTTCTTCGAATGGCTGATTCCGGATGTTATGATTCATAAATCGACACGTGTTTCAACGGACATGATCGTATATCGTTTAGATTTGAGTGAACAGCGTCAACGCGCGTCCACTCAAGAGTCCTTTCAGCTCCTTTCAGAACCGTTTAATTCCTTTCTTCAACTCCTTTCAGAATCGTTTCGCGGACGAATGCATACCGTTTTGCACATTTTGACACCAACATTTTGAGACAAACCTCATGAAGTATACGATATAAAGTCCACTCTCACTAACGTCCGTATGCGCACATATCGGTGCCAGAGAGGGGTAAAAGGTGTGAACGGATTTCCTGCATCTCGGGTTCTAGCAATCTGCATTCTTGGTTTCCTATCCTTCTTTCGTAGCTGCACTATTCTACTATAATATAATAATATTCTGTTGAGCCGAAGGTTTTGTTGCACTTACAAAAAATCGTAGTCTAAATCGTAATCTTCTTCTTGCTGCAATAATCTTGTATCGCATTTGAACCATTAGAAAGGCAAAATATGTGCTTTCTAATAATGTTTACTAGGCTCTCATTGCACAGGTAAAAACGGAAAAAGGAACTTACTTGAAGAACGATCCTAAGTGGCCTGTCGAAAGTATAGTCCAAAAAATCCCGTCAATGTCCAAGTTTTGCAAACAGCCTAAGCATAAATTATCTAACCTCCTCTTTCTTGAGCAAACTTGTGTGCATCGAGATATGTCTGTGAAAAGTTATGAACTTTGAGAAATGCCAAAAAAACAATTTTCACGTTCACTGCTAATTTCTGGAGAATTTCACTGTTCAAGGAACGCTCGGTCAGCCCAGATTTCTCAGTTAGAAAAGGAAAGTCAGAAAACTCATTCTAATGATTGTTTTGATTTATTGCATAGTTTTAGATTTTTAACGGGCTTGCTAAAAATCACTTAGCCTCATGTGATTTCAACTTTACATTTTGATCTTTGCATCCGACGCTTATTAGATAGTAAATAAGGGTCATTCAAAAGGCATGATTTTCTCTCTTTAGTGGTATTGGGTGACAGGAAGAAGTTACAATCAGGTTGTCCCAAAAGTTTTGTCGGTTTTTTCAAATTACTATAAAACCACACACAATAAACAGCTGAATGAGCTTCAACATGCATTTGAAACTTTTTCCTCCTCTTTTTTTCTCTTCTTGTGGTTGCATTTTCGAACCACAATCCTGTACGCTTTTCTTGATAATTGAAATCTTTCACCCGTCATTTTTATCTGCTCGAACTTAGGATATTTTTGAAAAATTTCATTTCAAATTTCTGAAACGGTTAAGCATGGCCTAAATGGAGCAATTCTCGGGCCATATGGCAGTATTTTTAGATTCTTCTATTCTGCTTTTTTAGCTCTAAAAAATTATTTCCTCAAAGGTCTCGATTTGGTCATTGACAAAGTCATTGAACACGCAACTGCAGCAAAAACATCAAAACTTTTGAAGTTTTTGCGACTTGAAACTTGTTTGTTGTTGAACATCATTTATGCCGAAGCTTTGCTCATCTGTAAGCGCAGGACTAGGGCATCCTATTAGCAGTTGTTAAAAACATCCAGCTGTTCAGTACGTAGGAAATTGGAAAATTCTATATGGGGGACTTTGAGGCACACTAAAAAATGTTGAAAAAACTGAAAAATGATAAATTTCAATTTTTCTTTCTCGCAAACTTTTTTGTCCAAATTCTTTTTACTGTACTTTGTACTAATGGCTTGCGGCTACAAGATAGGCCGCTTATTATTTTATTAAATTTAAAAGCTCATACTTACAAACTTTGAAGGACGTTATGAATTGTCGAAAGCAAGGTTCTAGCATAAGAACCTTTTTTTGTTTTTCAAGCCATATTTTTGTTCTTTCGTGATATGAGGATTGCACCGTATTGTAGAAGGTCTGCTGCTTCTGATGATTGTTACCGCATTCGGAAATGTGAATATTTCAAGAAATCTTAGCACGTCAAAGTGAGAGTTCGTGAAATTTTGCACCAACCTAATAGCAGAGCGCTGTCATTTGTTATGCTAGGGTCCTTAGAACCTTTGAAAGATTGGTACGGAAAAAGAGCCACTTCTAGCACATCACGATATAAGGGTTTTCCTTCACGGCTCTCCTCCTCTCCTCAGCCTGGATGTGCGCGCACGCCCTCAGATAATCGCCGGGGGCAAGCGGCGATGCGATTTATGGGCAGGCGGGCACCGGAAAAATAGTTCGTTGATTTTTTGCGGCCCGCTTGCAGAAATTTGGAAGAAAGTTGGCGAAATTAAAGACGAAAGCTTCAAGAACAATCGCGGTTTCTTCATGGATTAGCTGCGGCGCAGTGGCCGCATTCTCGCGGACTTTCCGCGAGAATATGCAAAAATTACGAGGGCCGCACGGTCCTTTGTGGAGGACCGCGCAACCCTCAGGTACTTTTCGCTGAGAGAAAGTACCTCAAACTTGAGTAAGTAAACCAACGGTGACACCTCTGCCACACAGAGTCTTACCTGCGCTCGACGTACGCCCGAAAATGCCTAAAAAGAGTCCGAGCGCTTGCTGAAAACTTGGCCAGCGCTCGCTGAAAGAAATTATTTGCGGAGCGCTTGCAGGAAATTTTGTATTGCTGCCCGCTGGCAGAAGACGAAAGTCGCCCGCTGAAGGTTTGGCCACGCCCCAAAATTCTGCTGACCGCCTGCAGAAAAGCGCGAGTTTGCGGACAGCCTGCCCCCGGCGATTATCTGAGCCTAAGCAATTTCTCCCTGTGAGCTCGGCGTAATAACATTACTTTTACCCCTTCTCGATTGCCTTTCAAAACGTGCCTCGCAACATCAAATATACCAATTTTGTTGACAGTGGTTGACCCGACATTTCCTAATGAAAAGTCAAAAAAGACCAATCGCCAAGCTGTAAAAAGACACAAAAAATTTACTTTCCTTTTCAGTTGTGCTGTCGTGGAATGGTCTGTTCTTGATTGTTTTTATAGTCGCTGCAGTCCTTTCTGTGACTCTAACCGTCGTTTTTACTTCCAATTCACCGAAGAAATATGAAGGTGAGCAATATTGGATTAATTTTCGTTTCCCTTATCGTCAGTTTCTACTACCTTTGAACACTCATCCTTGCAAAAAAAACCTGCGATGTTCCAGATCAAGCGAATGATAGAAAATAATATTAAAGAGTGCAATTGAGAGCGATGCAGACTTTAGCGATCGAAGTCCCGCCTTCCACCCGCCACTTACAGTGAAAGAAAGGGTACTATGTACGTTGTTTCAAAAAAGCACAAAGTGGCTGATTGTCAGTAATACTCGTATCGCCGCCTTTCGAGAACGTTAAGGCAACATAACGCTATATTCAATCTACGAATTTGGGAATGTAACCTTTGATTCAACTGGATTGGCTTCGGGAAGGCGCGGCTTTGTGACGTAATTAAGGCGAGGTGAATGAATCAAATAGTACGGTTAGCTTAACTGACCATTTGAAACGCTGGCACTCGACAATGCATTTCAATTTTGGCACCAGTATCTGCAGCATGCTCCTTTAAAAAAACAGTGTTACAAACAAAAAACGAAACACTTGCTGATGTTAGCAAATGTGAACCAAGTGTTTTTGCCTTTTCTGTGACACGGTTTTTTTCTCAAAAGAGCGTTCTGCGAGTATTGGTATCAGACTCAAAGGGCTACAAACCTGCGATCCTCTACGCAATAAGTGACAACTCACATTACTCCTACAGCACATGCTGCACTGCTGCATACCATCTGATTTTTTTTGCAAATTATGTCTTGGAAGACGGCCACAGTGTTGAGATTGACACTAACTTTACCATCATTTTCATGTTCATTTCATTTATTCCTGGGCATTACTCTATGTCAAATTCAGCAACACGAACAATAAAACATGAACAAAACAAACAACAACACGTGAATATCGAAAATCATATGAACCCAACAACACCTAATATGCAAGATGGAGTGAACACAACAGGAAGATCAGTATTAGTTATTATTGGACAGCAGACAACTTCCTAAAACAGCCTTGAACTGATATATCCCAGATCCTTTATCAAATAGACTTCTTGGAGATAAGAGTTGCCCACAAGATATTTGAACTTTAGGTTGCAGTTTCCCGGTCCAACATGGGTAGCCTTGGTTTTTTCTTTGGAAACAACCGCCACTTCTGCGCCCGTTATAAACTTGAGGCGTCCGAGTTAACGGGAATACTGATAGCTCGAATGTATAAATGTTGCACGATGCAGGAAAAAGGACTCCCCCTTGTGAGACTCCGTTGAACATTTTCCTAGGCCTGGAAAATTCATTATTGACGAGAACAGTAAAAATTTCTCTGCAAGGAATGCTTTGATCCAAGCGATGACGCGAGGATGTATACCGATCGTGGTTGATTTAACATGAGGCTGTTTATCAAACCTTGGTGAAACCCAAGTAAATTACGTCCGTGCTAAGTTCCTCATCAAAACTTTGTGTCCAATCCTTCAGAGATTGGAGCGTGACTATACTGGTAGACTTGCCACTTTGAAATTCATGTTGAAACAGTGAGATGGTCTTGTGTTTGTTTAAATGTTTGACTATATGCTTCTTCAATATCTTCTCAGAAAGCCTAGCAGGACTGGAAGTATTGGGTTGGCACATAAGTAATGCAACTTCTTATAGAACTTTTGTCTTTTTGAACGTAGCGCATTCATTTTCTGACAATATGTTAGGTTGAACACTAAGTTTTGCAACTAGTCTCATAACTTTCCTCTCACTCAACATGGCGCACTCAAATTTTGCCACTGCATTGGTTATTAGGTAAGCTACAAGCTCAGCTGCTGTCCTACCAAATTCGGACGTCGCAGTGAGGGTTACGGTAGGTGCATGGTATGAAGGAGAAAAATTCAAAGTTTGACGGATTTAGCTGAAACTTGGCATAGGGGTGTTATCCGACATGCTGATCACGAAAACGATAGTGAAATTGCGTGATAAAGGTTCTTTTGTAGGATTACTGTAGGTGTACGATATGGGGTCTCACCCTAAACAAGGAAAAGGCGTTGATTCAACAAATGAATGTGATATTCGTGTTTGGCAGGTCAAATAACCTTACTATTAAAGTTTCGGCGGAATTTGACCTTCGGACTCTTTAGTCATTGACGGTCGTCCCCAGCAGCTCTTGCGTACATCGACTCGTTCGATTTTATGAGGACGCCAAATCTCGACATGCCCCTAAATTTTGTTTCTTTCTCAATAGGCCAAAGGAGTCAACCTTTAGCAATAATTTGTAGACGAATCCGGATTACTGCGCATGTTCTAGGCTGCCAAAGGCCTCATTTTAGCTAGAAACCCCAAAAATTCTCAAATTTTACTAGTTTTCGAAAAATGCCTGAAACTTTTCTATTTCGTATTCAAAATTCAGACAATTTGTGCTCGCTTGTAGCTCACATTGCATTCTACATGATGCCAAAGTTTGAGTGCGCCATGTTGAATGAGAGTGAAGTTATGAAACAAGTTGCAAAACTTAGTGTCAACCTAATATTAGGATGTAAACGCAAATGTGAACATTTCTGCCGAATTTTTCCACCTTATGTAAGGGTTAAGAGTTGTTTTACTGCAGTCGCTGCGGTATGAAACAACTCTGCAGTCATGTTGGGGCGGGCAAAAAATATCGATCGATCGACTGTCGTCGCTGCAGCGACTGCAGTATGAAACATCCGTAAGGTAGGCTTACGGTACGATAGCAAACTTTTAGATTGCATCACACTTTGCTGAAGCTTGGCCTATGGGGGTTATTTGATACGCTGACCACAAAATTGGGATCCGTTTTGCATGAAAAGGCCTCTTTCATAAGATCAAAAAACGAATGTTATTTCGAGACAAGTGGATATGGCACTCGTGTTCACCGTATTGGATTGCCCTATTGTGCAACCCTCAATTCTGAATTTTGCAGCTTAGTTATTGACAGATTGCCCTCAAAACTTGACGCATATGACTTGTTCTGCTTCTCAAAGGTGCCTCATTTTAGCCTGTTTTTGAATTTCACTGTTTTCTTACTGATTCTAATGAGTCAACTTCTAGCTAGCTGCCTATACTTCCTTTTTGATATGTTTTGGTTCAGGTTTTGTACGGCTTCGTGTTTGCCAAAAAACCGTGTCTCGATTTTCAAGGGTTTTTGAAAAACGCTTAAATTTTTTCTACTACGTTATCATAAATCAAACAGTTTGCGCAGGCTTGCAGTTTACGTCACATTCTACAGATGTCAAGGAATGAGAGTGCTAAATTTAATAAGAAAAAGGTTATGGGAAAAGTTGCAAAACTTACGTGCCAACCTAGGTTGAGAATTTTTTGAAGAGATGTACGGTTTCTTTTTCAATATCGGTGTAACATATAAACTGCGCTATCTAGCCGGCGCTTCAGCTCTCATGAAACACAAACTGCATAAAAATTGAAGTCCGAATATAATGCGTGCTACTGATTTATGAAATGTATCGGTACAAAGAGGAGTGAGTAAAGTTGAATGAGGCCAAGAGATCAGCAACCTATTTGTCATCGGTAAAAAAACTAGGTTTTTCCTCTTTTGCAGGAGAACACGTAACATTTGATTCAATTGACTTGGCTTCGGGAAGGACGGGCTTTGTGACTTAATTAAGGCTAGGTAAATGATCAGAGAGCACTTGCGCGAAAGAGACACAGGTGAGTCGCGTGCGCGAGCGGCCTTAGTTAGGTCACAAAACCCCGCCTTTTCGAAACCAAGCCAGTTTAATCAAAGTTTATAATGCGAACTGACATTCGTTTAGGCACATTTTGGAAGTTATTTCCAAAAACAACAACAAAATATAGTGCTTTATCAAAATCACCGGATAACACGGACTCATTGTCACAGTTACCCCAATCTTGCTTTTTTGCTTAAGTCTAGAACTGATCAATCTGCAAAATGAGCTTTTTTTCGCGACTGGACTATCTCCTTCTCAACAGAAGCATTGTATTTCTTACAAGGGAACGATACTCAATGTTCGCGGCCTTTTGAGACGATATATATACCATTGCACACGTCTTCGAACGCTGATTCCGAATCTGACTTCCGTTTCTGCTAATCGTTTCTCTGAAAGAAATTATGGAAGAATTTCGAGCCAACTTTGGCCGCTAAAGGGTATGGTCACCGGAACGGCCTCTACTGAAGCCACTTATCGTATAGTGGTTAGTGTGATACCCTCATTGCTTGATGCAGGTGTATATAGGTTCAAATCCTTGTGTTTTTATTTTGCACTGTCTCAATCAAACTTGTTTGAGATTTACTCGAATTTTGACATTGGATACATTTTAGTGCAAATAGTAATCATTTTTTCCAAATTTCCACATTCTTTGAGGAGTAAGGGCGTTCAGTTAGCTCGAAGATGCGAAAGAAGGTTTATTGAGGCAATGCAAAACTGAAAAACAAGAGGATTCGATCCTACACCTGCATTAACTCATGAGCTTATCGCACTAACCACTAGACCACACCGCACCGTTACTGTTCGCGCTACGAACGTATTTCAGTGGCAGCCAAAGCCTGCATAATCCTTTATAACATCTTTGAAGCGATTAGCAGAAACGGAAGTCAGATTCGGTATCAGCGTTCCAAGACGAATGTAATGGTATACAACTCATCTTAGAAGACACGGACACCGAGTATCGTTTCCTTGTTAGACCTGAAGATAGTGTTCATTCCAGTATATTTTCTCCATTCTCAGTGCTCCCACCATGAACCACTTTACTCTATGCGCGCCCTCTTCTCTCATATAAAAAAAGAGGACAGCTGGGAACGTACATGGTTTTTGGTGGGATGGGATCAAAGAAACGTATCTATCAATGGCATAGTGAAGAATGAATAAAAAATACTTCATACATATCGTTGATATTATTTGCTGAATCAAAGAAATCTACATTTTTGGAATTTCTTCGTATAATATGCTCCGTGTGACGGTGTAGTGATTGAGCGAGAACCTAATTGTTGCATGATCACTTGACTCCAATCTTGCCTCAACTCAAATTTGATCAAATCCTCATCATTAGTTAGGACTAGATCCAGGATATTATGCTCCAGTGCATGGGAACGTAGTTCCTGTGATAATCCGTATAAGTGGCACTATTCAAAAAACTTCTTGGAGCTGTACCACCCCTGGTTGAAGGTTGGACTTCCCAATCGATGCAGAGAGCCGAAGTTACCCATAAGAACCAGAGCTTTATACAACCCAAAAATCTGCGCTCTAACCATTTGCTCAACACTGCAGGAGGGCGCCCTGTACAATAAAATATTACGCACTGATATCCATGCAGTAATATCAGCGCAAAGTATTTCATAGCTGTCTGCTACTGGTTCAAAAGACAGTGTGTGGATTGAGACATCGGACTATGGGAGCCACTTTTTCCTGTTTCCCCTACTTTATCTCACCTATGAATGACAGAATTATTCCAGTTTCCAAATAGAAAGCTGTCACCGACTTCCAACTTTGACCAGCTTTCAGTTACCCCTGAAATAGCCAGGATTTGCTTTTGCATACAAAATGTCAGACTATTTATGTTTCTGCAATGAGATCTAACATTACAGGGTGGCCAAAAGTATAGGCGTCACATTTTTTTGAATCAAAATTTTACCTCAAGGACGAAGTTTTGTAAGATTGAACTTGCATGTCCAAACAAAGGCATCCTAATGTGTTAATCCTACAAACATGGACTTCTGCACAACACACACTTCACGAGCTTATTTTGAAGCTGATGCGTCAAGAAATGCTGCGTGAAAAAAATGTATCGGTTGCGAACCCGGGGCAATAATCCGCTTGCAAATCAAAGAGTTTCAGAAGTATGAGCAGTTGTTAGTATAGTATCATAAATTTCCAGCGGGAGTTGCTGTGAGGTGCTTCTACAATAAAATTTATCACAAACTGGCTTCGTTACTAACACTGCGCTCTCGAAGACCTCCGCAAAAGGCGATTGTGTAAACGTACGGTCACTAGACGATAGACCCCTACAAAGCCGAGTCTGGCATATATCCCATACATCAAAATGCTTGTTTATACAGAATAAAAATATTGGAACTCACGTCACAAAATGGTCTAGTCGTAAGGATTTAGTGACTGACTTACAGCGAGCGCCAAAATTTGCGGACCAAGCGATCTCATTTCTTCATCGCTTGTTCAGAAAAAAACAAGGATAAAAAGTATCTGAACAAAAATTGGTGAAGAGCCTTTTGAGAGCAGCTACCTTCAGACGCCTTTTTCCGCTTTGGACAATATAGATCACCAAAGTCTGAAACTAAAATTTCTTTGCCAGATGGCTGAGTCACACCGTCGCATAAAAGAATTCTTGAAGGGAAAAATTTTCTTTTAGATTTTCGGGAGCGAAAAAACAATTGAGCATATTTTATATAGTCAACAAAACGTCACGATAATCTTAAGGTCTCTTCCACAAACACAAGCCCTGTTTTATTGCATTTTATAAGAAAATAATTTTTAAATGGCTCTTCTTGCCGTTTCAGCACATTCTAACAACGTTGTTTATGCATCGGGCGTGATGATGGCTTTCTTTTGTGAAAATCGCTAAGTAAGGCTTGTACATGACCTTACCTGCACCCCACCACCGCCTTGTCACAAAAAAATACCAGGGCAGCAGTTTTGATTGTCAGTTGCCTGCTCCACTTTAAGGATCTCACCGTAGCTCTATGTCACTGGGGAGAGCTGAGCACTTTGCTTAGTGAGTCTAGATGAAGCCAGCTTTATGAGGTTGATATAAAGCAACTATTGACGATCAGTTGATGGAAAGGGATAGCAAAGACTCTGAGATGCGTTTCCGAAACTCAGAGTTATGCTATTTAGAACTCTGAGTTCCGCTTTCAAAATCCCGAGTTTCAACTCTCAAGCTCGGAGTTTTGCGGTTTGAGGAGAGCTGTTACTTTGCTGCAAAAGCGATGTTAAAGTTGGGACTGTAACCTGTGTGGTCCAACGCAAAGCTATCACTAAACCGTTAGACCATGAGACCCCCTGAATCTTAGGGTTGCTTTGCCATAATGTACTCATTGCATTAATACATAGCATGACAAAACAAGTTATATCAAAGCCTCATTTATTTTCGTTTCGGTCAAGAAGAGGTGGTTTATCGCACGCATTGGTCTTTTGTGCAGCTGAAAGCTTCAAACAATAGTGAGAGCAGATGACATACGCAATATAAGAATGAGCTATAGTCGTCCTCCCCCCACTAGACACCCATTGGACTGTTTCAAATTTGAACTGGAGCATTCTGGTTGCGGCAGAGCGCGGCACATTCGGCTTTTCATTCAAACTCAAAGTTTTTCTCTGCATTTCTCCGACGTTTTATGCAATTTTTTGAGTGCTAACAGTCTTCTTAGTTGAGATTGGAGATTGTATTGCTTTTGAGGAATGTTTCGTGCTGTTTTTTCAACTTTATTTGAAAATAGAGCTACAGTAAGTTTCGACCCGCTTTAGGCGGAAATTGGACTGGCGCGAGTCCGCCTCGCAACAGCTCGCGCCGTTTCGCAGCTACAGTATATCCTATCGTGCTGAGAACCCATGTCTGCGTCTCTTCAATCCTCCTAGTCTTTACTTGGCAAAATGCCAACGCTGTGCGCCCGCAAAGCCTCCAGCGATGCGCATGCGCTGCTCCACGTAAAATGTCTCGCCTAATCCGGGATGAAACCGACTGTAGAGAGAAGCATAAGGTATGAAACATCGCTAAACAACAACAAACTCGTCAATTCTGATTACAAACGCCATTGAGATAAATGAATTACCATGCAACGACGAGAAATACAAAAGAACACTGCAAGAGCTTGAAACGAATTTGACGGTGCCGCGCTCTGCCGCAACCGGCGTGCTCTAGTTCAAATTCGAATTCGTCCACTGGGTGTCTAGTGGGGGGAGGACGACTATATTAGGATTTGCGCATATACCCTCCGGGCACAGTTTGCACTTATTCTGTGGTTTGGCCTACGTACACTATGCCTACCGGTAACCGCTCAAAATGATAGCTGTGTGCGGAGTAGATAGACTGCTCCGTAATCTGCGCCCTGAATAACTCTAGTGTACCAAGTTACAGCTGATTCCGCCGCTTTGTCTCACCTACAGTAAATCTGCCGTAATCTTGCCAGATGCCACCGCCGTATAAAATGAAATGCATACCAAATTCGTGATTAGCGCGCCGAATAACTTCACTGATCCTTGTTTCGGCCAATTTTGTGATTTTCCCCTATCTGCGGTAAACCCGCCGTAAGCCGGCTTTATAACCCCAAGGTAAAAAATGAATACCATATTCGTGATCAGCGCACCGAATAACCATCTGGACCAAGATTTTACAAAATTTCAAAATTTTGTAAATTATTGCACACCACGATACCCCATCATGCCTACCGAAGCTACGATCAAAATGTACCCCGAACTTTTTAGCTGCTCCTCTTCTTTTCCGGACTATCTCTCTTTTTCTAACCAAACTCAGAGTCATCTCTAAGTTTTATGGACATCTGGAACGCGCAAAAAACTCAGAGTTATCGCAGACCTCAGTTGCGCGTTTGATCGCGGTGTTTCATGTGCAGAGCGATTTGGACAATGTTGTTCCACTAGAAATAAACTACCGGTCACGGGGTATCCTGCCATATTGTCGCTTTCCAGATTTGGTCTGTTCAAGCACCTGTTAAGGGGGTCAAAAAGGTGAGCGTCAGCTCAAATATAACTCAGAGTTAACTCTGCGTTATAACTCTGGTTTTTGATAGGTTTACTACCGACCCTGTTAAAACTAAGTTTATAGTAACATGCGAGACATCGAACTACAGATGAGCGAGATGATTCATGCGTATATGTTCTCCTGCGTAATTGTACAGTGAAGCAGTATTGTAAGCAACAATAGTTATGCCTCTTTTGCGAAACGGGTGATGTAAAAGCAAACACACAAAGTTCCACGTCTCATTCCAGTCAATGGTAACTTACTGCTATTGCTGGAAGATAAGCAACGAATAATTATCGTCGAGCTATTTCTAACTCAATATGTGTAGTGCACACTACACATGCTAACTGACGAACTGCGAAATTAGAGCCTGCTCATTTCCAGTGATTTCTTCTTGCTTCCGTGTTTCTTTCGTTTTAGTTGGTTATATTTTGGTCAAGAGAACACATCGCTACATTTTGTTAGGCTAGAAAATGTTTTATTGGGAAGTTACTATATGGTAGCCGTCGATAATAGGGCTTAGTGTGCAACCTCACATATTAAGTTACAAATGACTCGAGGTTATTTTCTTCTTCAATCAAACTTTCATTTTTATAACTTTCTAACTAGATTACACAACAGTGCGAATTTCCAGACTTGTAAAAACGCAGTTGGTCATTTCAGGCCCAAGAATTATGCATTTATCGATGTACCTGGGAGATGAACAAGAAAAGAAGCAGTTTTCTAGATCACATCCGCTTGTTTTGAAAGCAAACGACAAGGAATGTAGCCTCCGAAAGGTGAGTTTCAGAACATTATTGAACTATAACGCAAATCTTATAATGTTTTTCTTTAAACAAGGTTAGTACTCACCGGGCAAATAATAATTTTCACTAAGATTGTGGAGCCTCCACATCGCCTCGGTAGCCGCTTTTGCGTTGGTTGCCGTCTATGCAGCTTAGTCAGAGGTCAGATCTTGTCCGTGGGGCGCGTAGACGGACTTATCCGTATTGATGGGATACTAGCAGGGTTTTTAGTTTTTTTTAATGCTATTCTTTCCTTTTCAAGGTTCTCCTCTAAGTTATAGCAAAAAATTTCGTTGCAGATGTGGTATGTGATCTGGCTTCTTTTTTTGCTCCTTCACCATGCTGGGGTGACCGAATCGTTGCCGAATAATCTTGACTTACCTATTTCGGATCTATCCCCGCTTTTTTGTGCTAGTTGACCTATCTCATTGGAAAACGAGGTTTTTTCTTCAAATTCGTTGAAGCTATGCCAAACGGTGCTTTTTCGATTCATCTTACGTGATGATATTGCAATGCTAGCATGATTTGATTGCAAAGTAAAAGACCTTCCATTGTTTCTCATGGCTGAATTTCGCTGGGTGAGCGATATCTTTGTGATAGGACAACTGAAACACCGTGTTGGTGACTTTATTGTTCACTCAGCACAGTAGAACACTTATGAAATAAAGGCGAAAAAATATTCTTCTGCTAAGATACCGTTCACTTCAACATAGTAGGAACCCTACCTTCTTGAGCAAAACTCCGATCTTTGAGTATAACCTTCAAACAGCGTAATAGGGAAACTTCAAAACTAGAAAGAGTGCAAAAATATTGTTCCGCAGAGATAGTGCTCGCCAACTGCTCGCCAAGCGTAGTAAACGAGCCACAAAACGAAAAAACATCGAAAAACCATGCTTTGCGATCAATCGCTCACCCAGCGTAACATCAAAACGAAAGCTAAATCCAAAAACTCCGCAAAGATATAGCTTAATCCATAAAGTAGCATAGATTGATTTTAAGACTTGTTTCCGAATGAGATTGGACAATTAACACAAGACAATAGCCTGAAAATGAAATCTAGATAGAATATTCCACTTACTCTAACATAAACTAGCTCCGTAGCAGGAGATATTTGGAAAAAGCTTTTTTCGATAGTAGTCTGATTATTCCACCATCGTAGAAGAGCAAACGGAAGCCGGATTGAATTACCAGATCTGCAATGGAAAGTTCGCAACGTAGAAGAGAACCTTGAAAAAGAAAGATAACAGCAAGGCAATCAAAAACCCGTTAGTAACAATAAGCCCCCCCCCCCTGCGCCACACGGACAAGATATGACCCAGTGCGTTTTCGCTGCATCAGCGACAACCTGCGCGAAGGCTCTGTTGGCTGCGAAAGCGGCAATTGGCGCGGTCTTTATTATCTTTGATGCGGCTTAAAAGCAGCGTCCAGGCACCTGCCCCGCTACCGTATTCGGCGTACGACTTGCAACGGTTGCAAGTTTGCGCGGGAGCCATCACGCGGCGGCGGCTCTTAGGGCCGCATGCATTCCCCACCGAGGAGAGTGAAGCTTCAAATTACCGATTTTAAGCTTTCTAGCCATCGGTCATAACTACTAATATCCTTCACCATGAAAATACTAACAGGAGCGAGAAACTGCACAGGCTGTATTCTCCAACTCTTTGTATGATCCCCTGATGATTGTCGGTGGCCCACGGTTTTTTCTGAAGTCTTTAATCTTTCTTCAAAGTTAGATGCCAAAGTTTTACTGACTATTAAGCGAACAATCCTAATCATATTGAACAAAATCCGACCGTTAATTAACCTTGGCATTATAATATACGATTAGTTTTTGAATTGTTTAAGCTTACCAAGGTGGTATAGAACTTGATGAAATGGCTGACGCGTTTCGGCGATGTATCGCCTTCTTCAGAACTGTAACGAAAGTTTAGGACAACTAAAGACTCACGGCGGTCGCCACTGTCCACTATCCTGAGATAGCGGAACCGAATAAACTGACGTGACCCTCCTCCCTTGTCTATTTATAGTCCCCAAGTCCTGATAAGCTGTAAGATCACTTATCATGGCTATACTGTCATGATAAGTGATCTTATCATGACAGTATAGCCACGATAAGTGATCTTACAGCTCAATATCATTAATGTGGCCTGCACAGCTTCCCGGTCCTGTTCAATATGTTTGTAGAGAAGGATAGGCTTATGGACAGTATAGCCGTGATAAGTGATCTTACAGCTTATTAGCGTCTTGGGGACTATAAATAGACAACGGAGGAGGGTCACGTCAGTTTATTCGGTTCCGCTATCTCAAGATAGTGGACAGTGGCGACCGCCGTGAGTCTTTAATTGTCGCAGATAAACTTTCGTTACAGCGCTCTGAAGAAGGCGATACATCGCCGAAACGCGTCAGCCATTTTATCAAGTTCTATACCATCTTGGTAAGCTTAAACAATTCAAAACTAATCCTAATCATGTTTCTGATAAGAACAAATGATGTATTGAGTCTCGAAATTTGCGATGAACCACAAGTCCACTGAAAATTTCAATAGCATTAGCTTATTTATTCTTATCAGGAGCATGCTTGAAACTGTTGGCTTATAATCAGTACAACATTGGAATGTACTCGTTAACTTCGAAGAAAGAATGACTTCAAAGAAAAAGGGGTCGGCCGTTAGGGACCATCAGGGGATTATACAAAGAGCTAGAAATTCGGCCTGCACAGCTTCTCGGTCCTGTTCAATGTGTTTATAGCGAAGGATAGACTTATGGACAGGTAGACAGCGTGAAATCCAGATATCTGGGGCTTCAGGATATGAACCTTTTTTGAGCTGCGATCCCCTTTTCCCGGCGGGGATGTCAGTGCATGCTGCTTTAGTCAGTAATCGTCAGTTTCTGAGAGCAGTTCCCATGTGTCCAAAAAATGTGCATCTGAATTCCTTCATGTTCTGCTTCTTCGCCATGCAAGTCAAAAAGAGCAGGATAGTAGAAAGAAGAGGTTACAAACATCGTGAAGTTTCTTCAAATCTAAAAAAGAGAGCGCAATCATAATAAAAATGAGCTACATCTTACAAACTCGGATCCCAAACTTCTAAATGACCCAAAGCATTGTTAATACCCATTCAGACTTACGTGAACATTACGCAATCGTAATGGAAAACAACAACAATAAAGAAGAAGTAACAACAGTTATAATAAAGGAGAATAAGTAAGGACGAGCTACCTACCTAGCAGTTCAATCACGTGATGTTTGAAATTTTTTTTGTTACTTAGGCGCATCCCTCGTGTTGGTCGTGTTTTTGCACACTGGAACGGCCGCCGGCCGTCATGATTTACTCGCACGGTCGCCAGCCTGCATTTGGCTCCGCCCAAAATGATGGAAGGCCGCCGTCTGGAAGGCCGTCGTCGGCCGGTCGCCGACCTGTCTAACAAGGGAATTTCACTTAGTCGAAGTGGCGATTCAGAAGGGGATCTATACCAATAAATAGAGATCAAAAAGCTGATCTCAGGTATACCTTCTATATCTGCGATGAGTCGTTCTAAGAAAAGTTACGAGCTTTTCTAAAGCCAAATATCAGTGCATTTTGAGTCGCAAAATCAAGATAATCACTACACAAAAGTGTGCAAGCTCAAGCAAACTACCTAGTAAGCATTGTAGGTCTAAGTCGAGTTCATCCGAATGCTTTCGAGTGTTTTTCGACCATGTTGTTCATTCATAGGTCGTCATTTCATATCTGGATCATACTTCCATCATGTGTACAAAAAAACCCATAACCTGCATCTAGAAAAACGCGTCCCGTCGGAAAATTTTTGGAAACTATTAATGGATAAAACGTAAAACGATGTTCTCAAATATATCTACAATATCTGCGACTCGTTCTTCTAAATGGAGGTTATAGGCTTTTTTGTATATATAATGAAAGTGTGATCTATGAAGGAAATGGCGACCTGTGGATAAACAACATGGTCGGGAAACCCTCGAGAACGTTCGGACAAACTCAACTTAGACCTACAATGCTTACTAAGTGGTTTGCTCAAGCTTGCACACTTTTGTGTAACGGTTATCATGATTTTGCGACTCAAAGTGCATAACGAAAATTTGGCTTTAGAAAAGCTCATAACTTTTTTTAGAACAATGCGTCGCAGATATAGAAGGTATATCTGAGATCAGCGTTTTAAGCTCTATCCATTGGTAAAGATCTCCTTCTGAATCGCCACTTCGACTAAGTGAACTTCCCTTGTAAGAACCAATCTTACGAAAGGTCGATATTGAAGTATATTGGCTTCTATTGTGTCTATAATGAAAACACAAGTACGATAGCTTTATTGAGACCGTCAACATACCGCAGTGGTAGAATGCTGCTCCTAACAGGCGGAGCAAAGTAAGTAAAGCAATTGTATCACTCGAGGTCACGAAATGACCTCCAGCTACGTAGGAGTCTAGCCTATAGGGAAAGATAAGATTGTGAGAGGTGCCGACAGGGGGAAAGTGCTGATGTGCGGCACAGTGCCACGCACTGTGCCGCACATCAGCACACTCTGGCCAACAAAAATGGAAAGAAACAAGAGAAAGGCATGGAAACATAACAGTGGCTACAAAAGCGACGAGTATGTTGCAAGACGTCTTCTTAGAGGCAAGTAAGCATGCACTCCGACAATTGCTGGGGGCAGGCGGGCACCGGAAAAATAGATTGCTGATTTCTCGCACCTCGCTCGCGGATTTTTTGCAAAGCATCAGGACTTTTCGGAAGACCGCTTGCTGAGTCAGCGGATTTTTGAGAGACCGCCTGTTGAATTTTTTTCGCTCTTATCTTTTGCAGATATATTGCTGAATCTCTGAGGAATCGAGAACTCAGCAAGCGGTCTTCCGAAAAGTCCTGATTGCTTTCCAAATAATCCGCGAGCGGGGTGCGAGAGATCAGCAGTCTATTTTTCCGGTGCCCGCCTGCCCCCGGCGATTGTCTGAGCAAAGGGACATTGGACATGAGAAGAAATGGTACAAGT